TAGCCCTGGGAGACCCGGCTGGAGCCTCTAGGAAAGAAAGTTGCGCCCAAAGCCCGTTCGAAAAGCCTCAACTACGCGGCCGTCTGGTCCGTGGCGGCTACAGCAACAGTCAACACCAACCACAACCACAAACACAACCACAACCACAACCACAACAGCAGTAGCAGCAGCAACAGCAACAGCAACAACAACAACAACAACCTCAACAACGTCAACAAGCTCAACAACGACAACCGCAACAGCAACAGCACCGGCACCAGCACTCACAGTGCCACCAACCGCCACCCCCACCCCCACCACCACTAATAAAAAATACTCATCATCATCGTCATCTTCATATACATTCAACGTTGACTGAGCGGCCTCTGGAATTCAGGCAACCTCGGAGCTGCGGAACCTGCCGCAAGCCGACGGTTGTATCAGACCTGCCGACACCCTCAAAGAAGCAAAATGAAATGCTTGCGCAGGGAAAGAAATCACAAAGTGAAGCCTGGATAAATATTCTCACGGCATACTGTAAAGTACTGAGGCGCCGCTCGGACATTTGCTTCAAGGAGAAAACTGCCCAGAAGCAACAAACCTGCATACAGCAATGCCGCAGCTCACAACCCTAATGTCAAAATGGGCGGTGCCCAAGATTCAAGCACGAGCGGTGCTCAGTGCATTTTCATCCGGCTGAGCAGGTGCCGGTACAGTTCGGGAAAATTGCTGCTTTCAGTCTCCCAAAGACTACTGTGTGGGTAACTTGTTAGCAGTACCGCGTCTGTTTCTTGCCGTCACCAGCACGACTATGTTTCGCAAGTCTACAGGTACCATGGCACTCGCGTAGCCAGAAGCTGCACAGATGTTTGCAATTCAGTGCCAGGAAGACCGGGACTACAAGCGAAAACACGCCCGCGTTGGTGCAGAGGCTCACCACTTTTCAGTGTTCGGAATGTCGAGACTTCCGTCCCGGCATTGAAGCCAGAGATTTGTCTCGCACCGTTGGCCGAAGACGAGTGCTTGTAGACTTGTAGAATCATGATATAGTCAATCCTTGCTTGTTGCCCCGTCCCTCACATCGGCTCTATGTGCTCATGAGATCTTGCGTTGCACAGCTGGCGTGCGAACTACCTGTGAACACTTGCGGAGATGTCAACCTCGCACGGATTTGCCTACTCCGCTGGGGGCTTCTTCACACACTTCCTTCGTGCACTGACTCGCACAAGCAATGTTTCTCCTCTGGGCTCAACTTCTGCAGACGATCATCGTGATCAAACGCATGACGAATTCAGGTGCCAGCTCGACCAGCTGGCACATCTTCAGGCCCGGGATGCAGCGATTCTCTGGCAACGGAGAGAAAGAATCTTGTCAGGTGCCTCGGCGCATGCTCCGGCCCCGCCGGCCCCGCCGGCCCCGTCTCGCAAAGGATGAGAGGTCGGCGATCACTCGGTCACTCTTTCCGGGGATTCGCCCCCCGGGGCCTTTCGAAGCCGAGTCCCTTGGATTTCAAGTCTCACGCGCAAGCATGTTAGTTTTTCAGCAGATGCAAAGACTACGAAGATGTAACAGAGTGTGAGTCAGCGTTGCTGCGTGTGGCTGTACAACTTACTATGTTCACGAACAAGGCTGGCTCAAAACATGCCCAAGCAAGGACTCCGCATCGGTGTTTCGAATACTGAATAGGAAGAGCTGTCAAAGTCATGTACCACGCAAGTTGCAGGCTCGGCGGTCGGAAAATCTTCATTTGATGCAGGGACATGCAGGGATCCCACTGCACTCATGTACAGCACTGCGACTGCATCTATGCAGGGATGAAGGCAGCTCGCAAGGGTCAACTTTTGGCTGGTGTGGCGTCTAGCCGGCCTTGGTCCCGGAGCCATGTCGCAGGCACTCAAGCCAGTACCAGGCCGCGCCGGAAATTCCACGAGTTCTGCCAGTCTGCCCAGCTCCGTAGGCGTCCGTAAGTACGGGTTGAACCTCCAGGTCACGAGGTAGACATCGATACCCAATTCTTACTGAAGCTTTTCGCGTTACGACACACTCCGGCGCCTCAGCGTGGCGACGGTGTTGAAAAACTGTTTGACAGATCCTGGCCCACACATAGGGAAAGCAATTTGCCGTGTTTGGCATGACGATTGTGATTGTATAGACGGATCGACCTGAGAGCAGGTATAAGGGTTTGACGGATCCGGAGTGGGCTCGAGTCGTCCAACACCGCCGCTTGTGAAAGTTCTTGGGCATGGTATGTTGCTAGCAGGCCTTCAAGTCGCCAGATCCTGGAGCCCTGCATGAGTTTTCAAAACAAAGTCATCCCGAACAATCACGAAGATACCGGTACAAAACTGAGAAGAGGCAGTGGCAGTCAAGTGGAGTTGCGCAAGCTCCTGGTGAGGGAGCGTCGGTCAGTACTCCTCACATTTGGAGGCTAAGAGGCTGAAGGTGGCCGTGTTTGCTTCTGTCAGCACAGCCTGCAGGCGCCGCAAGAACACCGAGACTGTTCACTCTGTAATGGTTCCTGGGCAAGCCGACATCTCTTGACCTCTCCACGTGCAATGTAGCCGATACATTTCTTCACAGAGCATGTGCAACCTTCGGCTGCGTCGCGGCTTTGATAGTTAGATAGTTTCGCACAGGAGGGCGTCGGCGGAGGCTTTAGCATATCCGAAGGGGTCCTGTGTCCTTCCCCATTGTTTGAGGAAAGAGGTCTGCTGATTGAATTTTCCACTCTTGCAACTTGTGCAACGACAGGAAATCCCTCAACCATAGGTTTCGGCATTATGAATATCCAGGCTTTGAGCAGCCCTGGTTGCTGCTCTTCAGGTATTCCTACAATCGCTCTCTACTTTGCTGGTCGGTTTGGCCGAAAACGCACGGCTCGGTTTCCACTGGCGAGTTCCTTCCACTTGTCAGGCAGAAGAGACCTGGGGTTCTTGCAGAAGGAATGGCAGAACGAGGCGCTCTTCTGCAAATTTCTGCATGGGACACAGGGCGGACGAGTTGCAGTTCATTGCTCAAAAGGCCGGTGTTATTTCTTTCACTGTCATAGGGACAAGGCCAAACTACTTGCCTTGAGTGGGTGATACCTCATGCGTGTTGAAATCTTTGACCAGATATTTCATGCACATACGGAAAGTCTACAGTAAACATCCTTCGTGCGACGAATCCACAAAGCTGCGCTGCCTGATTGAGTTTAGAAGATATTGTGTCCCATAGCCCGCAAAGGTAGACGCTTTAGCATGCAGGCCTAATAGACCCCAGCTTGACAGCTCGTGACCGGCTCGTCTCAGGTGCAGCTGCCGAGCTTTTTTTACGGAGGGGCAGGTGCACTGCCATGCAAGTCGGGCGACGGGTCAGCCTCAGCCAGTCGCTCTGCAGGATGTCCTGAAGGTCGCGGTTCTGTCGCGAAGCGGATTGCCGTGCAGTGCAGGAGCTCTCTGCTTCTTGGCGCGCACTTGGGCACGCAGCTTTTCGGCGCAACCCCTGACACTGACTTGTCGAGCCAACCAAGGAAGGATCAGCAGGCCTGTTGGCAGGGCAAGGGTTAAAGGGGGAGCGCCGCAAGCAGTACCGAAGCAAAGGTGACCTAATCCCACCTGTAAGACACATTCGCAGTTGCTTCAAACGAGACAGGAATAGCTGCAGCTTCGGGAGGTCTTTCTTGCGTTGTGGTCGGATTGACCATCGCGGTCAAAATCTTAGTTTATTGAAGCTTGTTTGGGACTGCCTGACGCCCCCACTGCCCGGGTTCTCTGCCTTACGACCCCTGTCTTAATTCAGGCCCATCAGCTTGTGTCAGTCGTTGAATTATCATTCCATTGTCACTTCTCTCTATCCCTGTCTCTCTGTGCCTCTCTCTCTCTCTCTTTCTCGTTTGTGTGTGTGTGTGCGCTTTCTCATTTGCAAATGCTCTCCCCTCATCCTCACTTCCTTTGCCTTTCCATGCTTCTTACGTCTTCCCCACGCCTTAGAAACCTGTTAGTAACTCTTATGAAAAGGAACCTGTCCAATTCTCACTTGATATATCGGACATATCAGAGAAGCTGACAGAGCACGCCAGAGGTTGCCAAAGCCAGACCCAGCTCCAGTTGGGAGTAATTTTAAACGCTCCCCGGCGTCCGCCTCGGCCCGGCTGTACCTGCTCTGAAGCAGGTGCATTGTTTCGGAAAGCAACAGGTAGGTCACACAGGCGAGGTCTTGAGTGAATGAGTGCGTTTGCTTCACCATGATAATGATTTCATTATCAGTATGTGTTTTCATGCTGAGGCTCTGAGCGATAATCGCACACGAAAGGCGGCACATTCCCTGCGTTACCCCATACTCGTTAGTGTAATAATCGTATCACACTTCCCACTGGTCTCGTATACAACCTCCCATATGTTGGAAAGGGGAAGGAAGCTTTGCAACGAAGTAGAAGACACAGCCCCAGACCTCCCCCAAAGCCTGGCATCACCTTTGAGGGGCCGACTCTGTGCCAGCAGAACCTCTGGACGTAAGGGGGTGCCAAGCCGAAATCCAATTTTTTTTTGGGGGGGGCGGGGGTGTTCAGCGGCACCCTCTGGCCGCTTCCGCCGAGGCCAAGGCGAAGCAGGTTTTGTGGTTTAGGTTTAGGCTCTTGGGTTTAGGGTCTAGGCTCTTGGGATTTAAGGTTTAGGCTCTTAGGTTTACTCTTGGGATCCAGTGTGCGAGGCTTGGGTGTGGTTGGGTTGATCCTTTAAGCCCTTATGCTGAGCTGAACAAGCGGGAACCACGAAGCGCATGTCTGCTCTGCATGAGTCTTCAGGTCAAGGCAAGGACAACTAGAAATTACTGTAAGAAGATGACGAACTGAGGCAGGTGTACTTTTTTTTGAATTTGCCTGACTCGGCAGGTGGTCTCTGCCAAAGCCGCCGAGGACACTCTCCGTGAATTCACGAATGTTTGTGTAATCTGAGCTTCTAGTGCCGGCAAGGAGGCTCCGCCGGTGGAAGCAGAGGGGGTCCAAAATCTGTTTGTCGAGAGTGGTGATGTCGCGCCTAGAGGACTATGCAGCTGTCATTTCCTGCCTTCCGGTTGGTGGTGACGATCCCCCGATGAGGCCGGAAAGCAATGCATATATGGTTCCGTGTCGCGTTTCGGTATCCCCCCCCCCCACCACCCGCATGGTATCCCCATGGTAACACCTGAAATCCTCGTGAGGGTCGTCACTTTGTCTCAAAAAGGCCAACAGTCACAGGGATGTGACTGTTGTGACTTCTGAAGCTATGCAACTTCGTGGCGTGTCCAAAGTGGCGACACTCACCTGCATGAGCCATCGCTTCGGTCTGCGCCGCGCCCAGCTGCTTACCCTCAACCCTTTCACATCTGTACACCTAACTAAACCCCAAACAACCCCACCACCCACATCACACGGGCGCGGGTGCAAACCCTAAGCCCTGAACCCAACACCCACCACCACACCACAGGGAGGGGGGAAGGGGGTTTAACGCTAAACCTGAAACACACAACGCACCACACCACCACACCACACCACGGGGGGAGACGGCGGGGTTAAATAACCCTGAACCCACCACCACACCCCAGGGAGACGAGGGGGGTTAATTGAAACTGAAACCCACAACCCACCACAACACCACACCACACCAAGGGGGGGGGGGGTGGGAGGGGGGGTGGGGAGCGGGGGGTCGGACGCTAGTCGAAGGGAGTGGGGAGCTGCTTTTCAGAATCGGACAAAAGCTCTGACCTGAAATGACGCACTGTCGTGTTGTCTCTCTTATTGCTCACGCGTCGCTTCATGTTCGCAGGCCTGGTTCTCCTAAGCCTGAGTGGGATCGATTTTAGCAGGAGCCTTGCAACTGTACGCACTCTTCAACATGACACGAATGCACTCTCCTGCGGGATGTCGTAGCGAAGATTCCGACACTAGCACTGACTGCGAGCTGTCAACTGAGGGGAGTCCGCTGTTACACAAGTGCTCCAAACCAGCAGAGCATCATGGATTCTGCCGAGCTCTGAGACAGTTTAGAGCCTGTGTCGCTGGCTGTAGCTCTTGCAGCATTACCCTCCCAGGTGCTGTTAGGAGGTTTGTAAGCGGTAGTGTAGCCGTGCACACCAAGATTATTTTCAACCGCGTGTTCGATTGGAGAAGTCGCGAGCTGCACGACAAGGCTCGTCGGAGCGTGTTGAAAGTCCAGGGTTGTTTTTCTGAAGTTCAAGATTCTGAAGTGTAGCCACACCCTGAAAACTTTAGACACCCACAACCTAAAACTTAAAATCTAGGCTAACTCTTGGTTTTGGCTTTTTGTCGTGTCAGTCAGGCACCATTGCTGTGCATGACCGTTGTTATTTAAGCATTCCTAAGCTGAACCCCGTGCACCCTTGCCAAACCAGCTAAACACCTCCCAAGAGAAACTGCTGCGGTCGACATGTGCAAAACCCAAGGTCCCTGACACCAGTAATCGATAGTAGAGAGATAAACGTACAGATGACATCAATAAGTGCAACAGCTATTGGAATTGACAGTGACCATGCCAATCAACTTCGTCGCACATAAATAAAGCTCAAGACTCAGGTCCTTCAAGCGGAACAGTCAGCTAGGAACATAGATAGCCAAAGCCACAGCAATACCAAGCGTAATGAAAGTTACAGCCAAGTCACGATGGTGCGCAGAATGGAAACATCATGATGAACGGTTACGGGTTTGTTCGAAAGTCGAAGATCTTGGGGAGCGGTCATGGCAAAGGGGGGGTGCTCCAGAGAAATGCGAAGGATTCGGGGAGTGTGGAGCGTGAGAGTCTCCTAGAGCGCGACGTCTACCGAAGATCACCACTGTAAATGTTATTGCATGCTACTCTGGGCCGTCACAATTCCTAAATTGGCCCTAAATCCCAGACCCAGGAGCCCTAATCCCCAAGACTTGGCGCGTTGGATGGCGCTCGGAGTGCTCGGGCGCTACTCTGAGGGTACCAGGCTGCGACCCTCAAGATGATCCTCAGAGAAACGCGACGTGGTGATGGTGAAATATCACCCCACCGAACGTAGCATTGGAATCGAGGAGGGCTGTTTGTCGAGTGCGCAGCATGATTCGATCGAGAGCTTCGATTTTGCCGAGCCAGGTTTCGGGCTGCAGGAAGTGGAGAGGGAAGGGGGTGGCAAATGATCGTCCGTGACCTCACTGTTCCAGAGAGTGATGCAGATATACAGAATGAAATACCGTGATTCTGTCACAAGTTGATGGCGCCGCTTTTTCCAAGACTTGGCGGGTGAAGGTGTAGAAAATGGGAGCTGCAACGATAGTTCCAGTTGTGGAGTGCAGTACGACGGTACTACAACACTTCAATGTGCAGTGATTCTTCTGCGGTTCGCCCTAGTCAGACGAGGTGAAACTAGAGTGAGACATGAAGAGAGACTGGCCTACTGATTTCATGTAGTTGACGCGTCATCAAAGACCACACAATAAGAGCGCCCAACAAAGCTTCTGGCCACAGGACAGACAAAATGGATGTCCTCTCAAATCTTGCAGCTGAAACAGAAGCGCGACGCAGACTTAGACGTAGACTCAGCTTCTACACTAGCTCGCAATGCCTTTCGCCTTTCACTGTGCAGAGCTTCAGGATGCTTGAAACAGAGAGTATCTGTGAGCCGTGTATCGGTGCAAGTCGAAACCCTGTTGCAAACACTTCAGCAGCACCAGCACCGTTGCGCATGCCGTTCGGAATGCAGGCTTTCAAGCAGATGTCCCGACCTCGAGCAGACTCTGAACTTAGCAGCGGGATGGCCTCTTTCCAGTCAGAAATTGACTCGTGGATGTCTCCGCAGTCTCCTCGGCTTTGCTTTCGGTACTTGACATCCACATCGGCGTCTCAGGTACGGTGGTGCTGCTGGCAGGGTGTCTGCAGGCGTTGACCTGAACGGAAAGCGTGTCAAGCAGCTTTCCGGCACCGTGAGGCCGCTTTGCTCCGTTGAAGCTCCTGCTCTCTGGGCGCTGAGTTGTCCTCCCAGGTATTCGACACCTTGGTTTGCCCGGCCCAAAACGTTGCCCATGAAGTCCCAGGACCTCGCACCTCAGCTCATGATGTCGCGGGTACTACGTCCTGCTACTACCAATACCAATACCACTACCACTACCACACCACCACCACCACTACCACACCACCACCACCACCACCACCACCACCACCACCACCACAGCCACCACCACCACCACCACCACCACCAAAACCGCGGCGACAACTGCTTCTGCAGCTGCTCCTGCTACTGCTGCTGCTAGTGCTGCTCCTGGTACTGCTCCTCCTCCTACTGACTACTGCTACTACTACCGCTACTACCGCTACTACTACCGCTACTACTAC